GGCAACTCAGAATTATTTTGTCCACACTGAGAATGATGCATGGAACATGAGTTATGTACAGGGAGTCTCCCAGGCCCTGCCTATCTTACTATGATGTCATTGGGGAATGAGCCTTAGCCGATTTGTGCATTGAAGAAAGACTCGTTTCAAATTATTGTTCACTTTACGAGGTGACTAATTTGCTGGCTGAATAAACTGAATTGTCAGCTGTAGATATTTTAATATTCAGCTTGAGGAACTTGACCTAGAAGGGATCCTGTTTGGAAAATAATATGGGATCTTTAATGTTAGAGGAGTAAATTTTTCTTCTTTTTAAAGGACTTATGGATACATCAAAGCATTTGTGGTTCTGAGTACTATAAATAAAGCTTAATTAGTCATGATATGAACTTAAAGTACTTAACTTTAAGATCACTCTGGTTTTTTATTGGTTTCCAGACATAGAACTAATTAAATCCCAATCTTGTTATTTTGGGCTTCACTAGGAATAAATTGTTGTCCATGTGTTACTTATAATAATGATGAATATTTGGTGCTATTTTTTTAATTGCGGTAAAGCGTACATAGCATAAACCATTTTTAAGTGTACAGTTCAGTGGCATTAAGTACATTCACACTGTTGTGCAACCGTCACCCCCTTCTTTCTCTAGAACTTTTTTTATCTTGCAACAATAAAACCCTGTCCCCATGAATCTTTAGTCCAGTCCCTGGCAACAACCCTCTAGCTTTCTGTCTATGAATTTAACTACTCCAGGCACCTCATCTAAGTGGAATTATACAGTATTTGCCCTTTTGTGACTGCTTATTACACTTAGCGTGATATCTTCAAGGTTCATTCATGTTTTAGCAAAGTTTCATTCCCTTTTAGGATTGAATAATATTATGTTAAATGTATATACCACGTTTTGTTTATCCATTTATTTATCACTGGTCAGTCGGGCTGCTTCTACCTTTTGGCTCTTGCGAATAATGCTGCTATGAACATGGGTGTACGTCAGCGCTGTGTTGGGAAAGCAGTGTGCATAGCAGCTAGGCTCTTATCTTTTTAATCTTAAGTATTGTTGCAAGCAAAGAAGAAGATGTTTATCTTTTAGATTTTTGGTATTGGTTTTTTTTTATTAAAACATTTTAAATTCAGATTAAATTTAAGGCCTACATTTTTGACTGCTGTCTAATCACTGCTCTGCTTTCTAAACTGTATAGAGCAAGAAGTTTTCCATGGAGAATGTGTTATATTTAGAATCTTGCAGCAGTATAATTTAGTTCAATCAGCTTGTAACTTTAGATAGTACACTAACTATAGCATTTATATTAAAATGCTTTTCGTATACTTGATCCCTAAACTCTTCCAACTCACTGATTTATTTGCTTGGGTGTGTGTCCTAGGCTCTCCACCCATATTCTAAACAGTCTTCTAAAAAGCCTTCTCTTAATATCTATGTACCAATCAACAGAGTTGAGGTGGGAATTTTGTTTGATAATTAAAACTGAGCTAATAAAGAAGAGAAGATAGTTGTTGATATTTTAAAAGCCACCTTTGATTGAAGTTAGATGTAGAGACATTTGTAAGAGTTGCACTCTTCAGGACAAAATGAGTTTAGGTTTGAAATATTAGTTATTAGGTGATTCTTTGTATTATATAGGATATTCCAATGGTTGGTTCCTTTATTATGATATTTAATGCTTCCAAATTATTGTATCTAATGAAGTCATGAAGGAGAGGAGGGAGGACCTGTGAAAAAGATAGGGAAAAAGCATACAAATATGGAAGGAAAATGTTTGGGTCTCTTTTCAATTCAAGACCATTTGAAGTGAAGGCAAAGTACTACTTGTGGGGGAAATATTGATTTACAGTTTTTCAGGCATGCATTCTGGATGTATACTTTTGCATACAGAGCTATACATGCAGCTCCTTTGCTCAAACCACACTTTCTTGCAAGAAACTAATAAGAAACCTTTGTGGTGGTTAGTGAGATAGTAGATTCTGAGTCACAGTACAGTTTCCGAAGAGTTGATAATGCATTTGTGTATAATACAGATTTGACTGTAAAGAGCCAGCTAATACAATATGGTCAGAGACCATTAAAGGGTAGTATTGACAAAATATGGTGATTGCAAACTTTCTTGAACTCTGGGCCTGAAAAAAGGAAGAAGCAAAATTACATGTTTGAAACTTTTTTCCAGTATGGCTAAAACTTGTTTGCAGCCTTTCTATGGTAGTCTAGAAAGAATTTAAACACAAAGCATTAAGAAATTGGCTTTAATGCTAGTTGACTATAGTGGCACATGTGCTTTTTTGGCAGTTAGGTTTCCATACGTAGGTAAAACATAACTCTGATGTTTTCCTTTCTGTTCTCTTTGCCTGAAAAATGTATTGGCTAAAAAAAAAAAAACAAAGACCACTACATTTTTTGTGCTTCTAGGTTATTTTTGTGAAAACCAGCGTAGAATATCTGATATGAGAAAAGCTGAGTTGTGGTAGGCACAGGGAGGGAATTTTTTATTTTTATTTGTCTCAGTTATATAAGTTAAAACAAAACAAACAAACAAAAAGAAATTATCTTTCCTGGCACTGGAAATACTTTAAAGTTATAGTGAGTATGACACTGACGTTTGGCCAAGGTTCTTTGGAAAACACAAAATAACTACAGTGGAGGGCAGCTCCTTTCTTAGAGCATATCTTTGGGTAGTAGAGATAAGGCAAACAGAAACAGTTTAATACTTTGGGTCAGAAAAATAAAAGAATATAAAAATATGAGAACATAAATATGATATGGCCTATACTTTAAAAAAAAGCTTTATTGACATAATTTACATGTCATACAGTTTGACCAAGTCACTGGTTTTTATTATGCTCATGCAGTTATGCAACTACAGCACAGTCAATTTTAGTACATTTTCATCACTCCAGAAGAAAATCATATCCACTAGCAGTCACAGCCCAGCCCTAGGCAAGAACTAGTCTGTTTTCTATCTCTATTTCCCTATTTTAGACATTTGAAATAAGTGGAATCATGTAATATGTGGTCTTTTGTGATTGGCTTCTTTCACTTAGCACAAGCTTCATCCATGTTATAGTATGTATTAGTATTATTCCTTTTAATTGCCAAATAATGTTCCATTTTATAGATATTCCACCTTTATTTATTCATTATTTGATAGACATTTGGTTTGTTTCTATTTTTTTTTTTGCTATTATGAATAGCCAAATAATATTGCTATGATCATTCATGTACAAGCTTGTGTGTGGACGTAGGTTATCTTTTCTCTTGGCTATATATCTAGGACTGGGAATTGCTGGATCACATGCTAACTGTGTTTAACCTTTGAGGAACTGCCAAACTGTTTTTTGAAGCGATTGCACCATTTTATATTCCTACCAGTTATGAACGAAGGTTCCAATTTCTCCATATCCTTGCCAATACTTGTTATTACCTGTCTTTTTAACTATAGTTATGCTAGTGGGTGCGAGGTGGTATCTCATTGTTGTTTTGATTTACATTTCCTCAGTGTCTAATGATGTTGAGCATCTTTTCTTGTGCTTATTGGCTATTTTTATATCTTTTTTTTGAAAGATGTCCATTTGGATCCTTTGCCCATTTTCAATTTGGGTTATCTGTCTTTTTATTATTGAATTGTTAGTGTTCTTTATATTTTCTCATGCAAGTCTCTTGTTGGATATATAATTTACAGATATTTTCTTGATTCTGTGGGTTGTCTTTTTACTTTTTTCTGGTGTCCTTTGAAGCACAAAAGTTTTTCATATTGAAGTGGTCCAATCTATCTATTTTTTCTTTTATTGCTTTTGCTTTTGGTGTCTAAGAAACTATAACCTAATCCGAAGTCATGTAGATTTACTCTTACATTTTCTTCAAAGAGTTTCATAGTTTTAGCTCTTACACATTTATGTCTATAACCTATTGGAGTTGAATTTTATATATAGTGTTAGGAAGGGGTCTGACTTCATTCTCTTGCACGTGGATATCCAGTTGTCTCGGCATCATTTGGCCATAAATGTGACAATATATTTTTGGATTCCCTGTTCTATTGATCTGTCTATCCTTCTTTCCTTAACGTTAGTACCACACTGTCTTGATTACTGTAGCTTTGTAGTAAGTTTGAAATTGGTGAGCGTGGTCTTTCTACTTTGTTTTTCTTTTTCAAGATTGTTTTGGCTATTCTGGATTGCGTGCACTTTCGTATATATTTTAGGATCAGCTCGTTAATTTTGGAAAGAAAAAAAAGCCAGCTGAGATTTTGATAGGGGTTGCCTTAAATCTTGGAGTCCAATTTGAGGAATATTACCATCTTGACAGTATTAAGTTTTTCAATTTATGAATATAAGATGTCTTTCCATTTGTTTAAGTCTTTAATTTCTTTCAATGATGTTTCAAAATTTTCAGTGTACTTATCTTGAAATTCTTTTAAATTTATTCCTTTGTATTTAAATCTTTTTGATGTCATTATAAATGAAGTTGTTCTCATAGCTTTATTTCTGGATTTTTCATTGCTGGTATGTAGAATTGCAACTTATTTTTGTATATGGATCTTAGCCTGTAATGTTGCAGAACTTGTTTCTTCTAGTTGTCTTTTAGTGGATCCCTTAGGATTTTCTATCCACAAGATCATACCGTCTGCAAATAGAGATAGTTTTACTTCTTTCTTTCCAATCTGGATGCCTTTTATTTGTTTTTCTTGCCTAACTGCCCTGACCAGAACCTCTAGTACAACGCCGAATAGAAGTCGCAGTAGTAGACATCCTTATCTTAGTCCCGGTGTTAGAGAGAAAGCTGTTCAACCTTTCACCATCGACTGTAATGTTAGCCGTGGGTTTTTGTAGATCCCCTTTATGAGGTTGGGGAAGTTCCTTTCTATTCCTAGTTTGTTGAGTGTGTTTTTTTCATAAGAGTGTGGGATTTTTATCAAATGCTTTTTCTGAAGTAATTACTTTAAAAAATGACTATTTTCCCTGTCCCCCCCCCCTTTTTTTTTATCTGCAGAAATTGACTTGCATACCAAATGTGTGGTGGATGTAGATGCAAACAAGGTTATTCTTAATCCTGTAAATACTAATCTTTCTAAAGGAGATGCCCGGTAAGTTAAGAAACAATGTTATGATCAGTGGATTTTTAAATAACCGAAAGCTGAATTGAGTTTATCTTAGCAAATATTGAATGCTTCCTATGTAGAGACAGGTCGCCATCAAGGTGAAGAGATGAGGTCTATGAAACGGAATGACTAAGTGCCAGAATGAGCTTTTTAGACTGTATCAGAGCAGAGAGCTTAGATTAGATGGTGAAATAACTGAGGAGGTCTTCTTGAAGGTGAGGTGCTGGCTGGAGGATTAAGTAATATGGAAATGGGAGGAAGTGGGGTAGAAGGATAGGCTTTTAGATTGTTCCTCAGCTTAGGTTGCTTTTACTTCTGCCAGTTCTTCCAAATCCTGTGTCAGTCAGAGCCCATTTCAAGTGCTACCTTCTTCCTAAAGGCATTTCTGCAGCCTTCAGTGTCCTTTCCCTCCAAGACTTTAAAATCTACTGGAGAGCTACACTGAACAATCCAAAACAATATATAATAATTAAATCTTTGTACGCTATAATCTCTGCTACCCAATTTAATTATTATATATTGTTTTGGATTGTTCAGTGTAGCTCTCCAGTAGATTTTAAGATCTTGGAGAGAAGGGACTCTGTCAGGGATTGAGAATGAATACTTGAGTATCATTTCTGGGTTTGGATGATAGAGAGAGGGCAAGAAGATGTAAAGAAAGTGAATTTGGGGAAGAAGGAAGAGATTACATTGGTTGTTTCCAATAAGTGCAGGGAAATTAATTAAATAGCTGGGATCAGGCTACAGAAGACTTTGAAAGCAGATAAGGAAATTTGGTCTGTATTTTTATTGATAAGATGTCACCTTTGACAGTTTTTGAATATTATGATTAAAGTGGTGGATTAGGAAAAGTTAGCAGCGTAGAGAATGGGTCAAAGTGGGGAAAGACTGGCTTTTCTTAGAGATCAGCTATAACAGGTGTTTTTGCACTGACTTTGGTAGTAGAGAACATAAGTTAGACAGTGCCTGCCATGATGGCTCCCACAAGGTAGACATTATAAATACTCGTAGAAACAATATTGTACATGGAAATACACAGGACATAAATGTTCTTTGGAGCTGAGTTGAATTGAGTTGAAAAAAGCACTGGACTTTGAGTCAGAAAATCTGAAATTGAATCCTTACTTAACTATGTAGTTGTAGCTAGTTATTTTTTTAACTTTTTTGAACCTCATCTGTATGATGCCTGCCTTACCGGTCTCATAGATGTGTTTTCTGAACATCAAATTGGTGATTGCTAAAGTGTTTTGTAAACTGTTCTATAAATGTTCAGCTTTATTGTTATTGATGTAGAGATATTTCTTTAGCATCTCTAGCACATGGGTACCATCAGATATGCTGTTATCAGGGTGCGAAGGTATAGATGTGTCAGAAATGATGCTGGGATTTGGGGCCTGCTAATTGAATGACCTATTGTCTTGAGATTAATTGAGATCATTAATTTGAGGGGCTGTTTATTGCTCTTAGTTTTTTTCAGTCTTGAGAATGTCGCTTTATTTGGAAATTTGGGCACTTCTGAACAAACTTGGAGGCAATATTCTGTGATGGAAAGTGTTGGCTTTATATAGAGACTGACTTGGATTCAAATTCTGACTTTGCTACTTGCTAGCATAGATTACCAACGTGTGGTCTTTACTTATGAAGTGTTTTAGTTTTCTGTTGCTCCATAACCAATTACTTCAAAAGCCTAGTGGCTTAAAACAACGATAATCATTTTTTATGTTATGGTTTCTGTGGGTCAGGAATTCAGATACAGCATAGCGGGGATGGCTGCTCCATGCTGTCTGGAGCCCAGCTGGGAAGCTTGAAGGCAGGGGCTGGAATCATCGAGACAAGGCTCCATCACCCAGGTCTGGTAGTTTGTGTTGCCTGTTGGCTGGAGACTTCGCTGGGGTAGTGGGCATTTTGAGATCTTTAAATCTCAGGGATTTGTGAAAGAATTAGATAGCACCTTTTGGTTCCACAGAATATCTTGGATGGCTTTTTTTTCCATATGCTGAAAATACAAATTGAGTATTACTTAGTGCTTAGAGTACCATCTGATAAAAAACTTAAAAATGACAACTTTCAATAGGGTTGTATGTAGTAGTGGTTTTTGGTTAAGTAAAGTTAGGAAGCACAACTTTGTTTTTTAAAAAACAACTTTTTTTTTGACATGTGATATATATATAGAAAAGTGTATACAGCTTGATGAATTTTCATAAGTTGAACACACTCCCATAACTAGCACTCGGATAAAAAACAAGAACATTACTAGTGTGACAAAAGACCACCTCTCGAAAAGTGCTTTTCTTTTGATGTAATATTAAGGTGAAAAGAGAAAATAGAAATTTTGGAATGTAGCAGCCCAGTGGTATATATTCACTTTATTAAATTTGAGGAAAAATAGGTAAGAAAGCACAAATTAAAAGCTATTTTATATGATATGAGGTTAATTACAGTCTGGCTTGTAAAATGACTAATCCATAAAATAAGTTACAGTTGTATAGGGGCTGTACTTTAACTAGAGAGCCAGGGGTTTGAAATTAACATGAAAATGATTTGAGTCTGTTTGAATCACTAGCCAGAAACACTCAAATTAATATTTTTCCTTTAAAAGTCACAATATCCTTGCTTTTAGAATAATATCCAATTCTATTAAAATAAAACTGTGATAAGTTTTGTATGTATATTTAACATCGAAATCAGTGTACTTTAAAAGCGAACATGAATAAATTTTGAAACAGTGGTTTATATGTTTTTCTGATTAATTTTGCATTAATTTCTGAAAATTTCATGATTTGATGTTTATGCTTATTAAAACTAATAGAAGCCATGGTTAAATGAATAGGTAAACCATTTCCAGTTTAACAGCTTAATCATGCAGAATTGGGAAATATTTTTGCTGTGCTATATATGAAATTTTAAAACCATTTTGAAAATAATAGACTTAAAATTCAGAAAATTATAGTGCAAGGCTATCCAGAGTAAAAATGCTGACTTTGGAGCCAGACATCCTGGACCGAATCCCAGCTACACCACTTAACATGTGTGATGTGGGGCAAGTTACTTTTAGTTGTCCTCTACCTGAATTTATGCATCTATAAGGTGGAGATTGTAATAGTACCTGCCTATAGGTTGTTATGATGATTAAATGAGTTAAAATATGTAAAATGGCAGTGCCTAGTTATTTACAATAAACCTTATATAAATGTTACCTATTATTTTGAGTATTACCGTTATTATTATTACAGCCTGTGTTTAAGTTGTAGTCCATGATATGTTTAGCGAGCTAGAATATAACTTCATAAAGGAAGTAAAAATCTTTTAAACCAAAATGTATTCGATACTTAAATATACATGCCCATCAAGAAATTACCTAGTTCTAAACAAATTTCAGCTTTGCAAAGTCAGAAACTTTATTTTATCTAGTTTGCCCAAAGTTGGTGGGGCTCTTTGAGACTAACATACCATCTGTTAGAGAGATGGGACTGCTAATTTTATGTTTACAGTGAATAAAGTATTAATCCTTGCAATCTGCGCTTCTCTTCTTAGTATCAACTAACTGGAGAAACCAGATCAAATCATTGCTTGTGAAAATGGGCAAGAACAAAGGGACATTTTATCAGATACGGAAAAGATCAGGGACAAACTCTTTCTATTCCACAATTCTGTACTTGAACATTCTAATGACAAATACAGCAGATCGTTTTTTTTCTTATGTGTATAGTACTGGATACACACAGGTAGATTCGATCTACTTATTTTCTCATGTATAGCTACACTGCTTATACTGCTACTAATGTAATTAAATATCTTTTTGGAATTACCTTTTTGCCCTGAATCATGTTTTCTGGGTTGGTCCTTGGGGTTTTCCAAATCTTCATCAGCAGCATATTTACAAATCATCTTTTAGGGCTAATAAATGACTCATTCATTATCTATTCTTAGTAGATTTTTACAAGTGTAATTAATTCTCAATGTGTGATTCTTAATATTAGGAATACTTTAAGTCCCATTTGTAACTAGTTAGAATAGTACCATGATGTAGAGCAGTCCCTTTTAAATAACTAAATAAATCTTTAAGCCTCACTTTGTTTGAATTATATCTTAAAACTTACTAAAATGTTAATACTAGTTAGCTTGTCACGATGATAGGGCAAATAGTTTCTGAGGCTAAGTTTTATCTTCTGCCTTTTTCTTTATTCCCTCCTTTACCCACCAAACAGGCCTTTCCTGTTAATGCAGGTTAAAAGGTCGACTGAGATACTTAAAATGTTGTTTTAAAAGGGAGTAAGGTGTGATTTCCCGTGGAGAGTGTCAGCCTCCACTTTATGAAACAGTTTTGTTATAAAAGTTGTGTGTAGGTGAGTTTAGAAATGGGAATGCATTTTCCCATAGGAACGGATAGTCGTTTCTAGTAAAAATGCTGTTCTATTAAAAAAGCGACTCGTTTGGCCCACATCTCATATAATCACACTTTTTATATTTTAGTATGCAGCAGAAGGGCTTCATAACTGCTTCCCATTTTGTCGCACATAATATTAAAATGATGTGTATTCAAGAGTCCAGATTGAATAAAATTTATAATTTTACTCCTTATTGAGAACATTTTAAAGTGAAAAGGATTTTATTTTTTTGGTTCGAGGGTGTGATGATAAAGAACGCAATGACTGCTAGTAACTGGTATACTTTGGTGTCACTGTGCTAAATGTATGAGCAGTTTTACCCACCCTCATTTTTGCACCATATCAATTTGCAAATATCAATACAGTGAAAAAGGCAAATGTCTCAGTATTATGAAAATAATTTTGATCTAAAGATCCACTGAAAAGCCGTGGGTGATCCCCTGGAGTTCTCAGACCACAATTTGAGAACTAAATTTAGGGATTAATAATCTAATGCACAAACTCTAGGAAACGAATGGTGATTTACATAGTATATATAGTATGAATGGTAACATACTATATATACTATGTAAATCACCCCTTTAAGGTGAAAAATTC